TTCTGGCTGCCGGTCCTGGAAGCCCAGATTTCAGAGCTGGAGCAGTGATTGGTAGAGACTGTGCCATGGAAATGCACCAGTTAGATGATGATTGATAGTTAACTATCAAACATTGTTTAAATTTAAAATCAGGCAGATTGATTCTGGTCAATGCATTGCTGTCTCAAGGCAAATCACAAAAAGCTTCAAAATGCCAGTATAAAGTGTTGTTTCCCCCTTTACATTGGTGATCTTGTGAATGTCCTGATGGGTGCAAGATGAAAAGCATTGACATGTGTGACATTTTTCAGCAAAACTATCTTGCATTATCTGAATTCTTCATTATATTGCTGAAAAGGTGCATGTTTCAAGTATCCTCTTCAATCCGTAAATTACACTTGTTTTTGAAATATTCTGTGTTTTGATATGGTGAGAACACTTCAATCAAATGAAAAACAGTATGAACTTATATGCAGTATAAGGGTCTTATTCAAATTAATCAAATTAGATTGAGCTCTTGAAGCTTTTATGCAGTCACAAAAATGTGAGGGACACAGATTTAATTGTTCCGATCTTTTTCTTGAGACCTTCAGTCTCATTTGCAAAAATTAATGTGCATCTGGAAACATCTGCCTGAGCCTGTTACTGTATTTATCTAGAATTGTCTCGAGACCTCTTCACTCATAATTCCCAGGGACCACTGACACTCAAAATACATGTTCCTCAGGTGTTTGTAGGCTGAGAAAAGGGGTAAACGTTTATTAGAGCTCTCTAATAAGCAACCAAAGCTTTTCAGAGTGGTGGATTCAATGTTATTTGAAGCATGCTGTATGTAAACACGTTCACAAATATAGTTTTAAATCTTGCCTTGGGCAATAGACAATCACTTAATCAGCTAACTACCTTCTTAGACGTGGAGCACAGCATCATCTGAAGTAATTGCTCTTCCTGAGTAACAAAATATCTTCAATATTATGTTTATGAATTGTCAGTGATTAAATGGCCTGTAAGTTAGCATCTTTTGCCATTATTTTGCACTTTGAAAATTTCAAAAGCAAAAAGGCAAAGCCACAAATCTAATGAATTTCTTTGAACTTTGCAATTGTGTATTTTCAGCTGTTTTCCAAATTACTGTCCCTCCATCATTGCCTTAAAGGTGTTTCGAGGATGGGCATTATTGCAATCCCCATCAGAACTGCATTATCAGTATGGTACTAGTGAAGGGTTCTTTTCTATGCTTTTTGTTATGTCTTTCCCAACACCAGCTTCATTTATCTATCCTGTGACTAAAACTGGTGGAGAGATATTTTGACCATAAAATGGTTACACTGTACAAGAAGTCCATTTCGCCCATTGTGTATGCAAGCTCTCCTTTATATTAAACATTGGATAATTAAAGCTATTGGAACTCCAAAACACTTGATATGGTTCCTTTAGTACAGAAGGAATATTTGGGAGCCCATGTTTTGAAGCCTCATTTCAACAATTCTAAGTTTAATAGGGATTCTCTATCTATTGTAATTGCATGAACTGATTGTGCAGTTCTTTTTATTGACTACATATAGTTTCTAAAGTTTTTCCTTTCAAGCATAAATATATATTGTAAATTTGTTTTTAATACCACTACAAATTTCTTTGAATGCACGTGATGTGAAATTGAGATTTATTCTATTTCTAAAGCTGGAGTATAATTTTGAGTCATGGTTTACAAAAAGAAAATTTAAAACTTGATGCTTGTTTCATAGAAGCACATTGTAAGTAAATTACTTATTAACTATTGTTTGGTAATGCACATTCTGGAGTTTATAATTAAACTTCTTAAAGTTAAGATGCTATCTTGAAATTTATATAATTTGAAATCTACAAAAATACTCAGTTGAAACAAATCAAGTTTATTTTTCCAACAAATAGCTAGAGTGTGTTTGTGTGTATTTGTACACAGGGGGATGAAATGTTTTCCATTTCAGCTTTCTAGTTATTAGTGCCAAACATTCCTAGGTCAGCCAGCAGGACAAAGTAACACACACACAGAGCTTTAAATACTCTTCTATAGGAATGATAAGACATTAACCTGATACTCCCCATGTTTCTCCTTCATGCCCCCACAGCTTTATTTGCAACCACTTGGGAAAGTGAGTTTTAATCATCTCTACATTAACAGTTGAGAGAGCATTGCTAACAGAAGCATGAAATGGCTGCTTTGTTCTTACAGCATCATATTTTTGTTGAACTTGGTATTCTCGGAGGAATGAGAACAAAGCAGCTGCAAAGTACCAGTTCCTTGGTTTCTGAGCCATCATTAAAATCAAACTTATTGAACTAGACTATGAACTAGATAAATTATGAAGTCATTTTTATTTTATTATCTGTAATATACTACATGCAAATCAGTATTGATAGATCGATTAACCACTTTTCTGAAATCAGTCTTCACACAAATTGATAGAAAACAATGAATGAAGACTACTGGAAACTGATTTGGGCTACACTAAATTATTCTGAACCAATCTTAGAGGGTGAGTGTGCACTGGATACAGGTAGTCCTCAAGCCAGTGTACAAACAGATCATGGTTAAAGCTAGAGAGACCAAGAATATGAGGTAACTTCAAAATCACCTAAAGGATGAAGATTGTTAGATCTCATTTGGGATAGATCTGCAAGGAAGCCCAGAGTTATTGAGATAGGAATGTGGAAATAAGGCCACAGTCAGATCAGCCATAATCCTATTGAATAGTGAAGCAGGCTCCATGGGCTGAATGAAGTCCTCTTGCTCCTATCTCTTTTTAATCAAAAGACTTGATTTAAGTAAGAGAGCTATTTCAACCACTGGAAAATAAGTAAATAAAGCTATTTAACAGCCAGTGTCTAGAAATATCTAGAAATGGTCTTGAAACAAACCTAACAAAATGAAAAATTCTTTAAAGCTCTCTCCCCTGCCCCTTCCAATCATGCCACCAATGTAGAAGGAGACCATCCATTCAGCCCTTCCCCTTGCTGACCACATCAAAATATATCTCCTCCCCTACCCCCACCTGTGAACCTGCATATTTGTTTGCATTTCCCCCTCAATAATCTTGTGCTATCTGAGCTCATCTCCTTGAGGTTCACCACCTGCTCACAAATCTATAGGTTCAAACTTCATTCCTTGTGCTGATAATACTTACATCGTAAAGAGTAAATAATTCTCTCTTTGCTTCCCACATAAATATATTGCTATTATCATCAACATCTCTATCGTAAGGTCTCATTTCCAATCTCCTTTTTCCATTGTCCCTTCCCAAATCCATGAACTTTATTCACAGTCACCAATGTCATCCTACTATGACTGTGGTCTTGGTGTACTGTTCTTCCAACCTCCAGAAAACCAGAGTGTTCTTGTCCTGCTGCAGGAATAGAGGCTCCAAGGGAAAGAGTGATTGGTAAGTAATAGGTAAGATCAGCTAAATATTTATAACTTTTTTATCACAGTTTGTAATGTCTGTTTCAGAGTTTATAAATTCTAAAGGGTACATACTTTTGTAACGAAAAACAGGAATGGAAGGCCCTTGAGAAATTGATATTTTTTGATATTAAGTATCTCCTAAACGGTTTAATTTAAAGGAGTAGGTCATGGCAGGAGAGCTGAAAGTCATAGTGAGCTCTTCCTGCTTTGTGGGAAGCCAGGAACATTTCCAGTGCTGATGACCAGCATGTGTGCAGGAAGTTTTTCTGGCTGCCGGTCCTGGAAGCCCAGATTTCAGAGCTGGAGCAGTGGCTGGGACAATGGAGCATCCACAAAGCTAAAAGAATCATGGATAACACATACGGAGAGGTGCCACACTACAGGTTAAGACTCCAGAGGCAGAAAGGGAATAGGTGACCAACAGCCAGAGTAAGAGGACTAAGCAGACAGTGCAGAAATTCCCTGTGGCCATTCTCCTGAAAAACAGATATACCACTTTGGATATTTTTGAGGGGAATGGCCTCGGGGGAAAAAGCAACAGCCAAATTGTTGGCTGATTCTGGTATTAGCTGTGCTGCACAGTGGACGAGCAAAAAGTGTGGGAATTAGATAATTGTAGGGAACTTATTTGTATGGGGAACACACTGGCCTTTCTGTGGCCACAAATGAAACTCCAGAATGGTATGTTGCCTCTCTAGTGCTAGCGTCAAGGATGTCAGAGTGATTACAGGACATTTTGAAAGAGAATGATGAACCGCCATCAGCCGTGATACACATTGGTACCAGCGATATAGGTAAAGCAGTGGTAAGGTCCTGAAAGCAGAATGCAGGAAGTTAGGAAACAAGGGTCACTGTTCTTTAAAAAAGTAGAATGAGAAAGGAACATTAAAAAGATAAGCTTTAAGGCTTTGTCAGTGACACATAAAGTGTTCAACAAAAGGTGGATGAATCAATCACAAAAAGGGGATGCACGATGGCTCAGTGGTTAGCACTGCTGCCTCACAGTGCCAGAGACTTGGGTTCAATTCCAGCCTTGGATCCATGTCTGTGTGGAGTTTGCACATTCTCCCCATGTCTATGTTGGTTTTTGCTGGGTGCTCTGGTGTTCTTTCACAGTCCAAAAATGTGCAGCTTAGGTGGGTTGGCCATGCTAAATTGTCTGTCTGCAGTGTCTAGGAATATGCAGGCTAGGTGCATTAGCCATGGGAAATACAGGGTCACAAAGGTAGGGTAAGGGGCTGGGTCTAAGTGGGATGTTCATTGGAGGGTTGCTGCAGACTTGATGGGCTGAATAGCCTCATCTGCACTGTAGAAATTGTATTATTCTAAATAGATGTAAATGGGTATGATAAAGTTTGGATTATGGAGACGTGTGTAGAGTGACCAGGAATGGGGACTGAACATTCAGTATTTAGGAAGGACACACAAAACGGAAAAGGGAATGGCGTTGCATTATTGGTTAAAGAGGATATAAATATAGAGGAAAGGTATTAGCTCAGACAATGTGGAATTGAGAAATGCTAAGGAGTTTTTTTAAAAAAACACTGTTGGGGG